AGACTTCAAATTATATGACAAGGCAACAGTAATCAAAACAGCATGGTACTGGCACCAAAACAGAGATATAGACCAACGGGACAGTACAGAGGCCTCAGAAGTAATGCCACACATCTACAACCATCTGATCTTTGACAAACCTGACAAAAACAAGCAATGGGGAAAGGATTCCCTGTTTAATGAATGGTGTTGGGAAAACTGGCTAGCCATGTGCAGAAAGCAGAAACTGGACCCCTTCCTTATGCCTGACACTAAAATTAACTCCAGATGGATTAAAGATTTAAACATAAGAACAAACACCATAAAAACTCTAGAAGAAAACCTAGGCAAAACCATTCAGGACATAGGCATAGACAAGGACTTCATGATTAAAACACCAAAAGAAATGACACCAAAAGCCAAATTAGACAAATGGGATCTAGTTAAATTTAAGGGTTTCTTCACAGCGAAGGAAACAATCATCATTCGAAACTAATCCAATGTGAAAAAATATTTGCAATCTACTCATCTAACAAAAGGCTGTATTCAGAATCTACAAAGAGCTAAAGCAGATTTACAAGAAAAAAATGAACCTGCCCATTCAAAAGTGGGTGAAAGATGTGAACAGATGCTTTCAAAAGAAGACATTTATGAGGCCAACAAACATGTGAAAAAATGCTCATCATCACTGGTCATTAGAGAAATGCAAATTAAAATCACATTGAGATACCATCTCACTCCAGTTAGAATGGTGATCATTAAAAAGTCTGGAAACAGATGCTAGAAAGGATGTGGAGAAATAGGAACACTTTTACACTGTTGGTGGGAGTGTAAACTAGTTCAACCATTGTGGAAGACAATGTGGCAATTCCTGGAGGATCTAGAAATAAAAATACCATTTGACTTAGCAATCCCATTACTGGGTATATATCCAAAGGATTATAAATCTTTTTATTATAAAGACACATGCACACATATGTTCATAGTGGCACTGTTTACAATAGCAAAGACCTGGAGCCAACCCAGGTGCCCATCAATGATAGACTGGACAAAGAACTTGTGGCACATATAAACCATGGAATACTATGCAGCCATAAAAAGGATGAGTTTGTGTCCTTTGTGGGGACATGGATAAATCTGGAAACCATCATTCTCAGTAAACTGACACAAGAACAGAAAACCAAACACCACATGTTCTCACTCATAGGTGGGTATTAAACAATGAGAACACATGGGCACAGGAGGGTAATGTCACATACTGGGGTTTGTTGGGGGGTGTGGGGCTAAGGGTGGGACGGCGGGGGTGTGGAGGTTGGAGAAGGATAACATTGGGAGAAATGGCTGATGTAAGTGACGGGGGGATGGAGGAAGCAAACGACCATGGCATGTTTGTACCAATGCGACAGTCCTGCAAGATCTGCACATGTACCCCAGAACTTAAAGTACAATAAAAAAAAGCAGGGAGAGCAAGTCATGAACACCCTGAAGCTTGACTTCTTTGTCTTTCTTCTTCTCTCTCAGTTATTTGAAAGTGGATAAGGTAAACATCACCTATTTGTTTCTCCTGTATTATAGTCTCCACTGTCAGGGTAGTCAATCTCATTACAATGGTCTCTTTATTATAAAAGAGTCTCTAGGATCTTAGTCTTCCATTATTTATTTACATACACAGGTATATATGAAATTTAGGAAATTCTATCTCTCTGCACTCTCCTCTGCATGTTGTTTTATTTTGGATGTCAGAATACTTGTACTGCCATATTTATTTTTCTCTCTTTGGATTTCTGTTGTATCAACTCATCTCTTATCAGAAGAAAAATATGTGCCTTTTTATGATTAGAAGGAGGATTATAAACATCAAAATGATTAGAAGGGTGCAATGATACTTTCAATATTATAACAGTGTATAATATTTTTTACCTTGTATATAGGATAATGATACTTAATATTATTTCATTTGATATTCATGTCTTCATGAATATTCTGAAGTCTTATTAAAGTAAAAATTTATACTTTCTTGAAGGAAAAAAATCATGTAAGTCTATCATTTCTCTCATACTCTCATATACCAAATGAAACACAGACTTTACTTTCCATCCACCCTCAACAGAGGTTTGAAGTCAGTTTGACTAATTTGACATTTGGTCAAACCATTTTGTCACTACAACTCTAGAAACTGAGAAAATTTCAATTCATCGCATTCGTGTCAGAAAGAAGTCTATTCTGAAAGTGAAATTGGCTTCTCATCTTTTCACACACTCTCACACTTCACCTCATGCCCTCACATGAACCATTAACTTTAAATGAGGTTGGGTGAAAGGGCTCATGACCTGAAACTAGACCCAGGCAAGTCATGCAGTTGAGTGTAGAGATAGTTCCACTATTAAGTGGTATCCTGTGGTGAACGTCACTTGCTATGCTCCTTGTGTAATTGACCATTCCTATTGTGTGACTGTGACCTTGGATAAGACTGCCAATCTGCCTAGGCGTAAATTGATTTGTAAAAATTGAGCATTATTATAACACTAACACTTTTGGAGCAAAAGATAAAATAGATAATGTTTGTAAAAGCCTTTCCTAAAATTTCAAGTATATACTTATTATTTTTGATGTGGTTTTGTTGGTGAAAAATGATAAAGTCGGTTTTATTGTACTTTCTAATAACAATCTACTTCCTCATTTCATTCTTCCTCAGATATTGTCATTACCTTGATTTTTAAAAAAACAAACTTAAACTCCTAATCCAACCACCCCCCAGATCACTTAAACTATCCTAACAACCTAAGCACTGTACAGAGAGAAAAGTTAATATGAAGGTATATGCCTAATACCTCCTTGCTTTCTCTGTCCAGTGCTAATTATGTGTCATACACGATGGAAGGTATCTTATGTGCATTTTTCCATCTAATCCTTGCAGTAACTTGTGAGTTAAGCATACAATGTCCATTTTTAGAAGTGAAGTAAAATTATAGCTCAAATAGGTTAAATAATGGACAAGGTCATTTTCATTCAATTAATAACTGCCAGAGCAGTAAATTTCCTAGAGGTCTGGTGACTAAGGTCTGGCATGTGGGATGTCAGCAAAAGTGTCATGTGTACTTCAGTCTTGCTTACTTGAAAAGAAAGTCTATTTTCCACTTCTGATCTTTATGCAGGCTGGCTAGAATGTGGGCATTATGGCTACAACTTAAATAATGATCATATTCACAATGTAAATGCTGCATTAAAGTTGGTGCTGTAACCCTGGTGATTATTGAAATTATCTTACCATTCTTGGAATACTTACTGGATTTTTCATGAGAGAGAATGGAAAATCTATTTTAAATGGCCTGTAGTTCATTTAGGCCATTTCCTTTTGTGATTTTCAATCACATTTAACTGAATCCAAACTGTAGACAAGTCATTTCATTTTATCAAACTATTGAAATCAAATGATTAGTTCTATTAATTTTTTTAAAACAGAAATTCTAGATATTGACTCCATTTCATCTCAAGATATCAAAGAGTAGGGAAATCTTTTGGCTTCCCTGAGCCACATTGGAAGAATAATTGTCTTGGCTCATACATAAAACACTAATACTAATGACAGCTGATGAGCAAAAATAAAAATAAATAAATAAATAAATCACAAAAAATTCTTATAATGTTTTATGAAAGTTTACAAATTCATGTTGGGCCTCAAAGTCATCCAGGGCTGCCTGAGGCCTGTGGATAGTGGGTTAGATAAGCTTATTATCAACTGAGACTGTAACATCTAGTTCATTCATTGTTATAACCAAATTCCATTTCAATATATCAACACGTATAACACTTTGGACTTCATTACAATTAAGTCTAAGCCTTTCTATGTTCTCTTTTGTCTTAATAAAGCAGATGGAAATCATTAGTGTTGATATACAGCATGCCAAGATTTTATGCTTTTTTTTTTCATTTTTAAAATCCATTGAATCAGCAAAAATCAAAAAGTATGGCAATACTAAGCGGTGAAAGAATATAAATCAAGAAATTTCGTATATATTACTAACAGGCATATAAAAAGGCACACTACTTTGAGGGATAATGTGACATTTAAAAAATCTCATTTTTACCTTAGCATCACTGGGTCCATGTGTAGGTCTCTTACAAAGGTATATTGCATGGTGCTGAGGTTCAGCTTCTATTGATCTTTGTGGGTAACCCCCACACCTGGCCACTGAGGAAGGAGAGCTAAGCAGATACCTGGCACAATTAGTGCCTCAAGAATATCTTAGTTTATCATGTCATTACTCAGTTATTTCCTTTATATAATCCTTTATATATAATCATGTATTAGTTTATAGTTGGAACAATTAGTGCCTGAAGAATATCTTACTACTCAATTATTTCCATATATATACATATACACACACATACACACACACACATATATATAATTATATCTTAGTTCATAGTTGGAGGAATGCCTAGAGCCGGCATGGTACAGAGCATGAATTAAGGAATAAACAGCTATACATATATAAGCTTATCTTGCTTATAGTCGGTGGAATGTCTAGAGCAGACATAGTGCAGAGCATGATTTAAGGGAAAAACAGTTATAACAGGACAAGAATATGGCCCAGGTGGCAACGTTCAGTATTGTAAAGATACCCACTGTATGGCAGGCTTGGAGCAAGAGCCTCTCCTCCTGAAAAAGGAGTTGTAGTACCTACCTTGTGTCCAGCTCTTGTGGAACGCTGTCCTCAGACTGGCAATCCTGTGAGCCTCCCCTCCAAGGGCTTAAAACCTCTCCGGTATAATCATGCCTTGGTGACTGTATAACTTGTCAGCTCTCTAGCTACTGTGCTGATTCAGATCATCCTCCTATAGAAATCATTGGAAGCTGCCAGCAGGTTGCTGTGGACCTTAGCTCTGTTGCTGCTCAAAGCATCCACCTATAGAATTCCTTAGAAGTAGCCTGACCCTAGATAGAGATATTGCACACTGCACTCTCTTCACCGTGTATGGCCCACCTCCTTGCCTCGGTGATCTCTGCGGGACCCCTTGCTGTGCATTGCCCACCTCCTGGCCTATGTGACCTAATGGGGGTGGACCCCTTGCTTATCGCTCATGTGATTGTCTTGACCCTATCACTGTCCTTAAGATGATCTCACTCACTACCCTTCCCCCTGCCTTGTACCCAATAAATACAGATGCTCCTGGATGTTCAGGGCCTCGCCTGTCTTAGCTTGTAAGTGGCATGGCCCCCCGAGCCCACCTGTATTTTCCAGTCCTTCTGTGTCCTGCCTCTTTAATTCTTGGATCCAGCACCTCAGCACAGCAGTAGCGGACACCCCACGACCCTGTAGGGCTGTGGCTCTACAGATCCTGCCACCCAAGTTGTGAACATAGGACCCAATAGAAAGGTTTTCACCCTTCCTCACCTCTCTTCTTTGTTTTGAAGTCCCCAGGGTCTATTGTTTCCATCTTTATGTGCATGTGGACCCAAGATTTATCTCACTTGTAAGTGAAAATATGCAGTATTTGGTTTTCCGTTTCCGTGTTAGTTTGCTTAGGATAATGGCCTCTATCTGCATCCATGTTGCTGCAAAGAACAATGATTTTATTCTTTTTTATGATTGCATAGCATTTCATGGTATATATGTACCACATTTTCTTTATCCAATCCACCATTGATGGGCACCTTGCCTGTTGTGTGTTTATGGTGGAATGGTTTATGTTCCTTTGAGTTATATCCAGTAATGGAATTGCTCGGTCCAATGATAGTTCTGTTTTTATGTCTTTGAGAAATTGCCACATGTTTTTCCATAATGGATGGACTAATTTATACTATCACTTACACTAACATCAAAAATAAGAATTTTTTTCCTCCATAACCTCTACCTGTTATTTTTTGACTTTTTTGGGTGGTGGGGAGAGGGACAGGATCTCACTTCTGTTGCTGAGGCTGCAATACAGTGGCATGATCTTGGCTCACTGCAGCTTTGACTTCAACTCAGGTGATGGTCTTACCTCAGCCTCCCCTGTAGTAGGGACTATAGTTATGCCACTGTCCCCAGCTAATATTTTGTATTTTTTTAAATAGAGATGGGGTTTTGCTGTGTTGGCCAGGATAGTGTTGAACTCCTGGGCTCGAGTGATTCACCTGTCTCAGCCTCCCAAAGTTTTAGGATTACAGGCATGAGTCATCACCCCTGAGTTTTCAACTTATTATTAATAGCTATTCTGACTAGTGTGAGATGGCATATCATTGTGGTTTTGATTGTATCTCTCTGATAATTAATGATGCTGGACATTTTTTCATGTTTGTTGGCTGCTTATATGTCTTCTTTGGGGATGTGTCTGTTTCTTTGTCTACTTTTTAATGAAACTGTTTGTTCTTTTCTTGTTGTTTCATTGAAGTTCCCTATAGATTCTGAATACTAGTCCTTTTATGAATGCAAAGTTTGCAAATATTTCCTCCTGTACTGTAGGTTGTCTATTTTTTGTCTGTTGAGTTTCTTTTGATGCATAGTAGCTCATTAGTTTAATTAGTCCCATTTCTATACACCAATAATGTTCAAACTGAGAATCAAATCAAGAACACACACCCATTTACTGTAGCCACAAAAAATAAAATACCTAGGAATACACCTAAGGAGGTAAAAGATCTCCACAAGGAAAACTACAAAACACAGCTAAAAAAAATCATAGATGACACAAATAAATGGAAAAGCATTCCATCCTCATGGGTTGAAAGAATCAATATCATTAAAATGTCTATATTGCCTAAAGCAAGCTGCAGATACAATTCAATTCCTATCAAACTACCAATGTCATTTTCATGGAAACATATAAAACTATTCCAAAATTCATATGGAATAAAAAAGGAGCCCAAATGGGCAAAGTGATCCTAAGCAAAAAGAACAAGGCCAGGGGCATCACATTATCTGACTTCAAACTATACTATAAGGCCACAGTAACCAATCAGCATCCTATTGGTACAAAAATGGACACACAAATTAATGGAACACTATAGAGATTTCTGAAATACAGCTCCACACCTACAACCAACTTGTCTTTGACAAAGTAAACAAAAACGAACAATGAGGAAAGACCACCGTATTCAATAAATGGTGCTGGAGAAACTGGCCCACCATATGCAGAAGAGTGAAACTGGGTCTCTGCCTTTTACCATATACAAAAATGTACTCAAGGTAGATGAATGACAGGTGTGTAAAACCTCAAACTATAAAAATTATAGGAGAAAACCTAGGAAATACTTTTCTAGACATTGGCCTAGGGAAAGAATTTATGATGAAGACTGCAAAAGTAGTACAACACAATACAAAAAAAGTGTGCTTTCATATCTTTCAGAATGTTTCACTGATTCCCATTCCACTATGCCAGTATGTGAAAAGCAGAACAACAGGTGTTGTAAGAGTTTTAAGGAAAATTATATAGGCCATTGAGGTTATGTGAGTTGGAATTCAGCCAGAGCAGAAGCAAAAACTTGTGGGCAGATACCCAAAACAACAGAAGAACTCCTTTAAAGGAGGAAGCTCTTCCTTTGAAATGTAGCTTGAGAGGTGCCATCAGCACTGCAGTTCTTTGAAGATTATTAAGAAAAACTCTATTGTTTATCCATGTTCAGAAGATTTGTTATTCAAATTTTTTAGGGAGAAATATGCATTGCTGAAAATATAATTGAAAACTTAATATAATAGGAAAAACATTAGTTTGGAACCAGAAGTCAGCTTTCCTAATTGTTAACTGTATCACAGCTATACCCGCAAAACAAGATCATAAAGTCTCCCAGATTTGCTATGAGCATTGATTAATATAGTTGTAAGTATGTAACATATGGTTGGTATTTAAGAAACAATAGTGGTCTAAATATGTTAATTCCTTTATGGAAGTCCCTAAATCCCTAGAGCACACAAAGGTAGTTTTGATTTGGGTTGCCTTACAATCAGAGTTTGAAATCAGTGTTTGCATGAAATTTATTTGGAACACAGTCCAAAAAAGGGGAAGTGAAGGAATGAAGAAAGTGAGACGAGAAATGAAAAAAGGACTATTTGAGATAATAAGCTAGCTGCTCCTGTGAAACACTGGGACCCGGCACCACTGGGGACCCACTGAGAAATCAAATAGAATATGCACGCAAATGATTCAAATAAAAAATATGGAGGGTCAGAATGTATCTGTTGACTCTTATCCCTCATTGATTGCTGCTTGCTCTTGAAGCCACCAATTCTTCCACATTCTGAGCGGTAGCTGCATAATGGCTGAGTGGCTTTTTATGACTTTTAAGGAATTTCCAAGGTGGGTAAGCAGAGAGATACTGTGGGGCATTCCTGAAGCACATCTGGTTGTATGTGCGGGATTCTGCATCACAGCTGCACTGAAATCTAATGAGCCAAGGGTATGTGGCCAAAGCAACACAAGAGTCTGTAGAGTAGGGTGTGTGTGTGTGTGTGTGTGTGTGTGTGTGTGTGTGTGTGTTGTGGGGGTAGAGGTGTCTGTGCTTTACTCTTAACTATTGCGAAGCCTAAACGTGACATTGTACAGAAAGGAAAGCGGTGAGAAGGCTGACAAAAATATCAGGTTTTTCTAGTTTGGCTCCATTTATAACATCTCAGTGTATTAACCCTGTTTTTTTTTTTTTTTTCCCACACTGATTAGAAAGAAGTTCTGGTTATTAGTAATGTCAAGGAATGTCTAGCCTATGGGAAAGAAAGTAACAAATAGACTCTTAGGTTACAATATATTTTTTAATCATTATCTTAATGCTATGTGATGATAATTATTTTTAGGTAAACTGGCTGACCTGTTTGATCTTTCTGTAAAGGAAGATTTTTCAATAAAATTATCATGGTGAGAATATTTCCTGTGTCATCAATTATGAAATAGAAATGAAAGCCAATATAATTTTATTCTGCCAAAAGTAGCAACAAATAACAGTATATTTAAGTTTATATTGCTTTAAAGATACTCTTTATTCTAGCAGACCATATGAACTATTTTAATCACATTTAGTAAGTAATATGGTTTTAAAACTTTAAAAACTGATTGGCACTAATAAAAACATAAAGTGACAGCATTTAATCCATTTTAGGTACATGTAGTTTCAGTGAGACTTATTTTTGGTTGTGGTGGTGTTCATTAGACACTTGATAAATTGTGTTTTGTTATTTATATTCAACCCACTTTAGAAAGAAATTTAAAGTCATTTACAGAAAAAGTATATCCTTTTAAGAATACCTCAATGAACAAAACAAACTTTAGAAAATGTCAGTTAAAAGATGATGAAGAGGAAAGTGAGAAATAAATACAGCAGGATACCTAAGTTTAAAGAAAATAATTGACCTGTATTTCCTTACAATCAAGGCAATAAAGAAAATAATGAGTTGTATATTACTCAATAAGTAATCATCTCTTTTTATTTCTATACTTATATTGAAAACAGTATAATTCAATATAAATATAGAAACAAAAAGAGATGATTACTTATTGAGTAATCATCAATAAGTAATTATTACTTATTGCTCAATATATATTTAGGTTGAATAACCACAAAGCTAATTTTCCAACAAACTAGAATTTATTCTTATATTAGGCAAGTATCCTAAAATGAGAATTGCTGATTTTACAAAATTTATGGAAGTTATGACATATTTAGTTTGGATGCTTTAGATATATATTTTAAGATATGACAAATAACTATAATTGCTTCAAAAAATGACAGCAAAGTTGAAGAAAATGGCCTTTTTTGCATATAAGATTACATTGTTATTTTTCACTAAAATGAAAATCTAAGCAAGTGAGAAAGAAGTGTCTGTTTGATTTGAATATATGTATTTTTGTTTTTAATTGACATGTAATTATACATATCTATGGAGAACACGATATTTTGATAAATATATACAACATGCAATGATCAAATCATAGTAATTAGCATACCAGTTACCTCAAACATTTATCATTTATTTGTGTTGGTAACATTCACAATCCTCTTTTAGCTATTTGAAAATAGACAGAAAATTTTGTTAATTATTGTCATCCTACGGTGCTGTAGAACATTATAATTTATTTATTCATTCTAGCTGTAATTTTGTATTCTTTAAACAATCTCTCCCTATCTCCTCCCCACACCACCTTTTCCAGCTTCAAGTCATTATAATTCTACTCTCTACTTCTAGGAGCTCACTTTTTTTTTGCTACACATATGAGTGAGAACATG